TAGCATTACCCCTTCTGTCAGCACTGATAAACTGAACACTAGCCGCTGTGAAAGGCCAGAGCACTGTCAGTGCTTTCAGCTGATATGAACCATTTCCATTTTTACCTCTAGACAATGTAGAGAGCAACGGAGAGCTGTGAAATCATTATGAAAACTGCGTTGAGTTCATTATGAGAATTAACTGCATTCTTTGTATTATAACTTAGTGTTACCATGGTTACTTAAAGAGGCTATATGCAGCTTTTTCCCCAAAATAAAAGCAACAATACCCTTTTTATTTTACCATTTATGACTAAAACATCTCCTGATGAGCATACTGACACCTTGTCCGCTCACAGTGGGTGCATCTATAAACCTGTATCCTATTTTTCCTATTTTCTGTCGGGTCGGACTTTTCCCGCACTGTCTGTGGATGTGACGTCAAGCGCGTTCATGTTAAACGTTTCAGATCACTCTGCCACCACCGCTAGTCAGCAAGTAGACTAAACTCGGAAGCAGAACACTTTATCTCAAACAATGTTCTTACCTCTGTAAACATAATGTTGACCTCCTTGCAGCAGATGACTAGTGAAGTGTGCACGTAAAAGCGCGCGTTGCGAGAGCAGTTCTGTTTTTTGGCCACAGGTGTCAGTCGCGAGTTTAAATTTCAGGAAACGCATGTAGCCTCTTTAAGTTTCCACCCTGGCTTACATCAATATGCATTCTTTTCTTTAATGAGACTTTTCTTTTTTTTTTTAACTAAATAATTTGTCATCGGAGGTACGGTAGTTAAATCTTTGGAAATGATAACTTTAACATTTAATCATCCAAACTGTGTTATATCAGAAATGACAAACAAATCAAAACTATTTCATATTTTAGCCTAGAGAGACTCTCTCAACCAGCCTCATGTGAAGAAAACTGGGTCGTATAGTAGGGCTGGGTATTGAGACAAATTTCACAATTCGATTCGATTTCGATTCACAAGCTTGCAATTCGATTTCGATTCGATTCAATATCGATTATTTTGGATATCAGTTACAAAAAATGGCAATTTTTCTCAAGAGAATCAAATCTCTTAAATGCTGTAAACTATGGTCTATGTCTAGTTGTAGCCTACTAGGCTTCATTAGCCTAATATGAAGGTAATAATTAACTGTTTTGTAGCTATACAAACACTTAAATTACACTTTTATTTATTTTTATAATAAGAAGATTATATGAAATATAAACATTTAAATGGTGGCTGTCATAAAAACTTGTCAGATTTATTCAAATATGGATTAAATATTGAAGAACACTAACGAGTGTGGACTAACGAGTCTGTTTATGTGGAGTTTTCTGAGGTAAATATGACGATACATGACATTGATTACAAGCTGTTTAATTGACGTCTTTCCACGGTTGAAACGCTGATTGAGCGAATCAATGTGACATGATATGGATTTTGATAAGTTGTACTCTATCTTTTAACACACTTTCAGATGCTCATTCATGTTTATTTCGCGCTTTGATTGGTATTATTAAGCCGGAAGAGAGATCAGCGCTGCTGCTTCTCTGGAGCTGCGCCAGAGCGATCTCACGCCACAGCGCCAAAACGCAATTTATGTTTTTGAATTTCTAAAGAAAATGGACGTAATTTGAAAATTGAGACTTTGTTTCATATCAATAGTAACAAAGGACAAAGATTATTGCGATTTGTTGGATGCGCGCAGCCGCGATACAATGTCTCATTCATTCAAATGAAACACGATGACTAATCGATTCTTGAGATTTAAGAATCGATATCGGTTTGTAAAAATGAGAATCGATTAATATCGAGAAATCGATATTTATTACCCAGCCCTATCATATAGGCCTATCTAATGTCTTGAAGGTTCCTATGTATGCTAGTTATGCCGAGTTCAGATCAGTTCACGATTTTCAAAGTAGTCGGGTCGCTGTTCATTTTACACTGCATGACTATCTTGGCCAGCATTTAGTCGCTGCTGTGTTCACACCGCACGATGGATCGGTGACCGAAGGTTTCACACCGCATGACTTTACAATAGAAAGAATCGCCGACAACTCTGTCTAGCATGCTGTGCGCAAACTACGTACGTTTGACAACAAACACACGAGATGTGACAAGGAAACAACGCGACATCACACGTGCAAGACCGGAGTTCTCTCGTGAGACTTTTTCTTTTTCGACCCGGTTGTGGTACAGCTCAGATGAAACGTCAAACAGACACGGGTGCTCCTGCCAAATTTCGACTAATTTTTCTTCCATTTCTTGGGTCCAAATAGACCAAGAAGAAGCCTTTTTCTGAAACAATGACATGTTGATATGTGATCCTCCCCGAACTTCCCGCTGCTCTGTATCTTGCTCTCTCATTGGCTGTCGGTAATCGCCGATGTAGTTTTCAGTCAGAACCCTTTTCACACAGCAGGATTTTGAATCGCCAACAGCATGCCAAATATCTCACGGGTGTCAGCGACTTTCAGATCGCGTCTTTGCTCATTCACACTGCGTGATTGTCACTCGCGTGAATGAGCACCGATTTGCCTGTGATTTTGGGCATTTGTCTGCGATGTCTTAACCTGTCGGCGAGCCAAAATCGTGCCTAAAATCGTGCAGTCTGAACTTGCCATTACTTGTTGGCTGATTTCTTTCACTTTCTTGCCCACATAAAATACATGCATTTAAAAAAATCCAAAATAGCCGGTAAATAGAGTTTTTTGACTTATGAATCAAAAATAAATTACTGAATTGTGAACACACTGTGTTTGCAATTTCGCACCTAAATAAGGTTTCTGGTTATGTTTTTTTTTTCTTCTTTTTTTTTTACGCTTGTCTTGTAATCCATTCTAATTTGTTTGCTATTACGTCCTTGATACTTTCATTGTTTGGATGTGTGCGTATGCTGTGCATAGCTAAAACATTACAAGACAATCTAGTATGCAATAGGGCAACAACCATATATGTCCAAGTAAACAACTTTGTTAATTTAAAAATCATATCCAGTTGGTAAACGGCAGGATGAGGAGCATAGATATCCTTATAGATAGACAGCCACGATAGCCTTCTGATAGCATCACTTCACCTGCAAGAGAGGCATAAATTTAGACCCGAATGCAAATGGAACACTGTAAAAAAAAAAAAATCCCATATTTTTTACGGAATAATGCTGGCAATTTTGGTTGCCAGAACAATTCTGTAAAAAATACATTTAAACTGTAATCACCTTTAAAGTATTAAACCGTATTTCATTTTCTGAAATCTGTTGATATACCAACCTTTTGAAGAATTGATTTCTGTTTTTTACCTTTGTAATACACTGACAACCATCAACCATCACATTAGTGATGAGAGTTTCATGAGAAAATAAAGCTCATCAGAAGTTGTCTTCCATTAGAAGGTTAATATTTATATAAAGAAGCTGCAGGGTCATTCACACAAACATTAAACACCATCATGGTGTAAAATGTAATAAACATTAATTGAACAACATTAAATGTAACATAAAACCCTAATGTACTGTACATAACTGATTACAAAAAACAAAACAAAAAAACGAGAAAATTATGAGGAAACAGTTATTTCAACAAAAATACATCAAATGTGAAGTCTGACGCAGGGAATTGTGGGAATGTCAATTTACAGTTTTCACTGTAAATTATACAAGAAGTTGTTCTTTTTCACTTTCAAAAACTGTAAATTTAACGGTATTTTACAGTAAAATTATAACACAGTTATTTACCGTATATAGTACAGAAACTTTCTGTTAACCAATTAACAGTTTTGCACTGTAGCATTTTTACAGTCTTTTACCACTAAAATTACGATTATTTTTTACAGTCCTCCCACTGTGTAAGTTTGGGGTGAAAGAAGGCTTTCCAAGAACAAATTCCATGATTGCCCCTTGTTTTTTTGGAAAGCATGGAAAAGCAACTATAATAAATTAGCTTTTATGTTTCATTTGACATATTTACACAGTACTACGCATAGTTCAAAACAACTCAATGTCTGAATTGTGAATGGAAAATATTTTTCGCAATTGCACCCCTAAAAAATACGGTTTCTGGCTACATATGAGAATCATATCAAAATATAACTGAATATTATACATGTCTAGAAAACTAATTTCAAGCATTTAAGCATAAATAATAACATCATATCGTTTTTAAGATAATGGGAAATAATACATTCAGTCAAGTGTGTCCAAATGTTTGACTGGGACTGTGTGTGTACACACCACAGCTTGGATGAACCTGTATTATTCAGTCTTCACCTAACCGCAAATCAACTTGTTTATGGGATCATCACAAGACATGACACTGTACTTCGACAAGCAGTTGCTACTAGAACATAACACACTGCCAACTTTAATCAATCACAAAGTTCAGAGCTCTGAGTGACGGGAGCTGGGAGGCCATTGATTGGTCGGAAGATAGATGCTGCCATTATGGAATATTCTATGTCAGGGAAACAGGGCTCTAATTACACTAACACGGTAAATGGGCTTCTTGTGTTGTGTGAGCTGGGCGGCTTTTTATACTAAATCACATTATGTGCGGCATATTTAGCCGACATCATCAGTCTCATCGTTACAGGGCCGCCGATGGAACGAGCTAATGGTTTTTTGACTGAGTACTTGATTCCCTTGCTCTGTGTATTTACCAAAGCAGAGTCTATTTTCCACTGCTGTTTGTGAGACATTAAAAAAGACTAATCTAAGGATCAAATTCTTTAAAACTATTCCATTCTACCAAACAAAAATAAGAATAAGTATATTATATATTCTTTTTTTGTGTGTGTGTGTCTGTGTTTTTTCCTAAGTAGGAAAGAACACAGACACACACACACAAAAAAAGATGTATATAAATACAAAAAAAGATGTATATAAATAAATGCCAAGGTGGCATTTATTTATATATTTATTATATTATTTTATTTACAGTAAAGCATTTTTTGGTGAATAGAAAGTTCAAAAGAACAGCATTTACGTGAAATGGCAATCTTTTGTTGTCTTTCACAGGAGTGTTGTTGTTGCACCTAAGAAAGCGGGCGGGGCTCCCTCACCAGGAATGAGCACAGTCTCCACAGCCGCATCCGTCCCATCAGCCACTGCTGCATCCTCAGGTGGAACTCCAGTCGAAAGTGTGTCGGTGGTGTCCGCAGGAGATGCTATTCAAAGCACAGAGTCCGCCCCAGGTGAGTTGGGACGTCTTCATGAATGATCATGTCTACAGTGTTACCATAGGCGTCATTTACGGGGGGGACGGGACGGGTGGGACATGTCCTTACCACTTTTTGCCAGGATCGATTTTGTCCCCACCACTTTCGAAACATCTCGCGGCACAGATGTACCAATACAAATAAAGCATCTCCAGTTAACAGAATTCGTTTCATTTGTTTGTTAAATAACAGGCGATCTAGCTCCGAAATGCGTCGTCTTCTCTCGGAAACGCGCTTCAATCCGTTGCGGAGATTCATTTCGGTGAAATCGTGGGTTCTAATCCGCTCTCGTATAGTTTTTTCCCCCTCATCAAAACATATACAACCACTGATAAACATTATATCAATTCAACCACTGATAAACATTATTGGTTTTGATGAGGGGAAAAAAAAAAAAAACTATACGAGTGCGGATTTGAACCTCGAACCTCCCGAGTGCCGACACGTTAGGTAAAAATTCTACCACTGGACCATCACTGTACATATGCAATTAAGGGCGTATATACTCTATATACTCACTATACTCGGACATTGTGCTCATTTTTATTTATGCAATAAAGGGCTTATATACTTTATATACTCAATATACTCATTTTTATTTATGTACATCAGGAAGCTACAGGACATCGTCTTTCAAAACATGACCTACTCGAAAGAGAAAAAAAGAATGAATGTGTTATTGTACCCAGCACTTTTGAAAATACCCTTCCGAGTACGTCTCTGTCCCCAGCACATTTCAAACCAAACTGACGCCCATGACTGTTACCTACACATAACCCAAGTGCTGTTTGCTCAGTTATAGAAATGCATATCTCAATCCCAGTATAAGATATTAAAATGAATCAGTCCTATGTTCTGTCCCGTACAATCACTGTACTGTATATTACAATTAATCAGACCTGCGATTATATCCCAACTACTAATTTAGTTGTTTCAGTGATTTAAAGATTTAAAACCAGATTTTCTTTTTTTCTTTTTTGGATGGTTTTGCGATATCTGGAAAGTTTCTAAAGAGCAATACAAATCCTCTATAAATAAAATATAAATGTACACTACTGTTCAAGAGATGGACCGTATTATACTCACCAAGCATTTATTTAATCAAAATACAGTAAAAATGGTAATATTGTAAACAAATGTTACAATTTTAAATAACTGTTTTCTATTGTAACATCTTTTAAAAATGTAATTGGTAACCCTTTATAATAAGGTTCAATTTGTTAACATTAATTAACATGAAGTAACAATGAAAAATACTTTTACATTTTTTATTAATCTTAGCTGATGATAATTTCAACATTTACTAATACAGTACATTGTTAACATCAATCTCTTCTATTATTACATGGACATGAGCTAACATGGACTAACAACAAACAGTTATGTTTTCATTAACTAAGGCTAACAAAGATTAATAAATGTATTGCTAATGATAAAGAAACAGCCCTCACAGATTTAGTTAAACAAACTTAAGGTCATCTAAAATGATCGATATGATATGATATAGTAAATCTAATCATATCAACAAATGTGTGTGATGATTAGAGGTCGGATTTGAATCGTAGCCAACGTCATCACCTCCGTCTAAAACCATTGCATCTCTGTCCTTTCTAACATAGTGAAATCAACATCTGCATGCACACATGATCCTTTGTGCATGAAGGGATTGTTTTTAGCTCCCTTTTGCTTTTCTTGTCTTTGAACTAGTGTACTCATGGGTCTATATCTCATGCTTGAGGTTGTAAGCTTGTCTGTGTCTTTATGGTTCTCATGTGTATGTGTGTGCAAGGATAGGGGCAGGTCCCAGCTGAATAGTGATAAGCTAATTTTCTCCGGGCTGTTTGAAGTGGCTACTTCATCTCCGCACAAGCACATGTTGGTGCTTAAAGAGCCGCTGTCCCCACAGCCAGAAACATTCCACGATCCAGCCTGTCATCCTGCTAGAGTTATCCCTGCCCTGAGACCCCACGTGTGTGTGTGTGTGTAGAGATATTAGTGCATGCAGATTTATTGTGGTGTGATATCCTGTGAGAGAAAGGGTGATCGTGCCAAGACCTTTACTAGCCCAAAATGTGACACTTGCAGGGCAAGATTAAATTTATTGACATATAATTACTCGTACACTAATCACAGCCACACACAGGGCTAATGAATTTATGGGCTGTTTTATCAGGGGGAGTGTAAGAGCTGCTCTAATGCTTATTTTACATGAATGCTAACCAAAGCAGAGCAATCATTCAGCTAAAGCTCATTTCATATGGTTTCAGGGCTTCAATGCACATCTTCACTCTTGTCCTTTATATGACTGTGTAGATAGCTTCAGGAAAGGGGACTTTTACTAGGTTGTTAGTTGGGCTGGACAGTATGAAAATTGTCAGTACATTCATAACGTTTTTTGCGTCTATAAAGTTGTTTTATAAAGTGTTTTTGCTATATAAACTTCAGTAGCCTAAATTGCATTAGATGTTTGCTGAGCTTATTTTAAAGGTCATATCATGTGCTTTATCACACAGAATTGGTCTTGTTAAATTTTAATACCCTATAAAAGGTTTTATTTTGTTTAATTTTTAGTCTCTGACTCGCCAAAGTTGCATTTATATGATTTCTGATTTCCTGTAATGTGAAAGCTGAAATTTTCAATCTTCAGTGTCACATGATCTTTCAAACACAATTTTAATGCAGATTTGGTGCTCAATAAACATTTTTAATTGTTATCATTATCAATGTTGTTTTTGCTGCTTAGCCCTCAATCGGGTCATGGGGTCTGTATGACCCCAATCAACTTTTACTTAATGAAAAAAAGGTTCTCTTCATCTCAGTGGAATAAGATTTTGTAACTTTTCATACATTATCTATCTATACACGCACACAAAAACAAAAATGGGCTTGATTCAGTTGTTCTGAAGGTATGTAAAAAAAAAAATGTTTACACTTCTGGTCTTCGGGGTCAATATGACCCCACATTGAAATGAATGGGAAATGTGAAAAAAAAAACCTAAATATATTTTTTTCATGTGTCAAAAAAAAAAATACGGCATAAATCTGAAATTTTTTACACAGAAATGAAGGCCTAATACTAGAGCATAAATGCAATGTATCATAAAAAAAATAAATAAATAATAATTCATATGCAAGCTAATGGTGTAGTTGAGGAATTGTGTGGTATATGGATACAAAAGTACTTTATATCTCCAAAAACACAGCATTAATGAATAGATGAGAAGTAAACAAAAAAATAAAAAGATATATTACGTATTTGTATGTTTAAAAATGTATATTTTTTGTACAATTAATCAATTGTTGGGGTCGTATAGACCAGAAGTGTAAACAGGAAACGAAGACCATTTGAAGGTTAATACTTTTGCAGAAACCTTGCATACATTTCCCCTTCAGATTCCTTGAGTAGAAAGTTCAAAAGAACAGCATTTAACTGAAATAATACATTATAAATGTTGCTTTTATCAATGTAATGATTTCTTGTTGTTACTGTGTGCTTTAAAAAAAGAAACTTTAAATTTTCTTTTATTCTTAGATTTTACTGTATTTTTACTGCAATTGGCTAAAGTAGCATATAGTATATAATAATAATAATAAATGTAAAAACGATTATCTGTCTGTCATATCACCCAGCTTTAATCTGTAGAATTAGTGAAGATTTATTCATGGAAGATTAGATGTGCTTGTCTAGCTTATTGGATCCCTGTATTGTTTAGTGTGTATGTATTTGTAATGAGTATTTTACTGGCTGTATTCTCTGCAGGAGGAACCTCCACGAGCTCCAACCTGCCATCTGTCCCTGCCTTACCCCCAGTGACCCAGAGCTCCGCCCCCAGCATGAGGTCTTTTTTTCCCCGTTTTTCTCCAGAAATACATATTTGATTTGATATTTCTCTGGTATTTTACAGTCTGTTCACTTTTTTAAAGTGTGTTTGTGTATGTGTTTTCAGCATCTCAGAGAGATTGGAACATGCTCTGGAGAAGGCAGCTCCTTTACTCCGAGAGATTTTTGTGGATTTCGCACCGTTCCTCTCTCGAACACTGCTGGGCAGTCACGGACAGGAGCTACTCATCGAGGGCACCAGTGAGCCACGCTTCTGCTCTTATTACTGATATTTGCAGAATATTTTAAACAAATGCATCTCAAAGTTATATTAATAGTTGCAGTACCACTAAACAACACCACATACTGTACAAACACAAAGAGATCTCATCACTCCCAATATATTAAAAAAGCACCTACACCCCCTCTCTCATCTCTAACCAGATTTAAGCTGTAAATGGGGGCTGAAAGTATCTTTTAACTCACTGATTATAATAGCAGTGTTCTTTTATAGAGCACAGGGTCAGAGGTCAGCACACTCGTACGAGTGTTTGGACTGTCCTCTGCCACCCAGAGAAATGAAACACTGATTAATAGCTGCAGGGTGACTTTAGAGAGCCAATTCAAACAAAAAATGCTTCCTTCCTTCCTCATCCTCCAGCTTCCTGTTTGTTCTCACCTTTAGCTTTCATGTTAAATCTCTCTCTCTCTCTTTCTCTCTCTCTCTCTCGTGTGTGTAGTTCTTTAAAGCTATATTTCAGATCAATAGAACATATGCTCACCATATTTAGTCTCATGTAATACAAGCTCAAACGTGTATTAGTTTACAGTAGCATCGTGTAGGTTCATTAAGTTCATCAATACTCTTTGACCTCGCAAGATGGTGCAGAATTAGGCCCATCACAAATGTTCATGTCAGCAAAATAGTCACTGGTGAGAAGAATGATAAATGGTAAAAAAATAAAATAATAATAAATAAATAAAATATTTCCCATAATAGTGCTTGATTAGAAATTAGAAATCATATAGAACTGAATATATATATATATTTTTAAATTATTAGCAGTCTTTTTTACAGTGGCATGTAATGATCATTATATTCTTGATTATTATATTGGTCAGTTGCATTATTTACCATCAAACATTTCTGAATAATAACCACTGCCCGTGGCAGCAGTGTATAACTAACCACTCATCTTAGAAACTTGTATTCAGTCCCTCCTTCAATATCCATGTGTTAATTTTTAGCTGATTAATAAGCTTACTTTACTGATTAATAAGGATTCTGTACCATTAGATAGTCATTATCCTCCTGTGTCAGGGTTGAGGTCACCCTGTTGTGGTTTATTTTGTGATAATGACTGGCTAATGTTATTCCTCATTCAGCACTCAAGTCTAAAATATACTGAAATCTACTGTATAAGAAAAATAAATCTCTGGCTATAATACTAAAATTATTGAGACCACAGGAGGACTGCTTTGGAATCAATAATTTGTCAATAATTATCAAACGTATTTGTGATTATTTTCTCTGCTATTTATTTAGAGGCATATTTCAACAAATCAAAATTATCAGTCAGGTTGTCTTCCAAAATCTTCAACAGTAATGGTTAAAAGTTTTGCCTACTGAAACTAAACAATGATTTATTTATTTTTTGCAGGTCTTGTGTGTATGAAGTCCAGCAGTTCTGTGGTTGAACTGGTCATGCTGCTGTGTTCCCAGGTTAGTCATTCCTCCATCTCTCCTCATGGTTTTTCCACCTTCCACTTTCTCTCTTTCTCTTTACTCTTAATAAATGCATTGTTGCAGTGTTATCTTCACACTGCCAGCCTGAATCCTGTCTTACTAAGCTCTGCGTATAGACAAAAGTCCAGAAAAATGGCCACAGTGCCCTTCTTAATGCTGTTGATGTGAGTTCAAAGGTCAGGGGTCTTGACCCAGTGTAACGGTCTTGGTCATATAGCCAGTCACAGAGGATAATGCAACATTGATAGTGTTTTGTGATCGATCTGCCTCCCCATCGGGTGTTTTTAAGGCATGTTGGATGAACGATTGATTACAGAGCTCTGTTTGTTTGTTTGTTTGTGTTTCTGTCCCAAAATGATCTGAATTCTCCCTTTGGAGATATTCGAAGACATCGGTACTTCAGGAAAATAACTTAACCGTACTTCAGTATTTATTAATACAATTGTGTATATAAATTGTGTATATATTTACACAGACTAGTTGACTTTAATGCTCTGCCACAACTAGTCGCAGGTCATGGGGCAACAGGATAAGAAATCTTTGAAATCCACTTTTACGCTCCATTTCCACCTGTTACAATGGCAAATAAATGCATACTCCAAGAGTACTACACACAATGGGTCTCATTCATGAAACACTCGTAAATACACGAGTAAATATGAGAGTGTTTAGCGCTTAAAGAGACCATCCCGAAAACTCTTCTCATGATTCACAAACACTTCGTAAATGTCAGATGTGATAGTGAAATGTGTGTGTTAATGAATTCCAACCACTCGTAAATGGGACGCGCGTGCACGTTCATTCTCAATTACCATAAATCCCGCCCATTATATCCGACTGACATCTATATATAGGCATATAACATGAATGCGAATGAAAAAAAAAGATTTCTCGGATGCAGAAATTGAAGTTTTATTATCAGAAGTTCATTCAAAACGGCACATTTTATTTTCAAGCGTACATAGTGGCGTATCAGGTCCTAAAAAAAGGATGTTTGGCAACATATTACAGATGCAGTTAATGGAGTTTCTTCTGTTAATCGAACAGTCCCAGAAGTGAGAAGAAAATGGTTCGACATTAAGCTTGACAGCAAAAAACGAAGTAGTTCACTTCGGAAAAATCGTATTCAAACTGGAGAAGCAACGCCATCGATCACCAGATCTGCTATTACTGGCTCTCATAATAAAAGTAAAAAGAAAAACCGTATGTAATTATATATATGAAGAGTTCAGATGCAAAAGCCTCTAAGTGCCATTTGAAATTTTCTTCTAAAATGATCATTTTTGTCAAGCTTGTATATTTAAGTTCAGTAATTTCACTTAAATGGCAGTGAAGATTACCTATTAATTGTCATTTAAGTGAAATTACTGAACTTAAATATACAAGCTTGATAAAAATCATCATTAAAGAAGAAAATTTCAAATGGCATTTAGAGGCTTTTGCATCTGAACTCTTCATATATATATATATATATATAAAATATTACAATGAATATATAAAATAAAATAAAAAATATCTATATAAAATATTTTTTTTTCAAAATGCTGTTTAAATACAGGGGTTGGACAATGAAACTGAAACACCTGGTTTTACAACACAATAATTTGTTAGTATGGTGAGGGCCTCATTTTGCATCCAAATACAGCCCCAATTCATCTTGGGAATGACAGATAGAAGTCCTTCACAGTGACCAGAGGGATTATGAGCCGTTCCTCTTCCAGAACAGTGTCCAGGTCACTATATGATGCTGGTGGACTCGCCCCTCCAAAACACCTCAATAATATTCAGATCTGGTGACTGTCAGACCATGGGAGATGTTCAACGTCACTTTCATCTTCATCAAACCCTTCTGTCACAAGTCTTGCTGTGTGTGTTGGTGCATGATCATGCTGATACACGGTTTGAGCATCAGGTGCTCATGATCCTCCAGAAGGGTTTGGTAGTCCTCGGCAGTGTCGTGTCCATCAAATACAATCAGGATTGTCATGATATTGGAGCTAAAACCATCACTGATCCACCCGTGCTTCACTCATTGGCCAGTGTTTCAGTTTCATTGTCCAACCCCTGTATGTACCCATTGGTGACTTAAAATGCAGCCTTATTAATGAGCAAAACGTTCGGATGTTAAGCGCACCATTTAGCAGGTGTAGATTTCTTGCGTACCAACTAACATTTGGAAAATACGAATATTTTAATGAATCCTAAAATTTACGCCTGAACCACTTTACACACGATTTACACACAAATTCGTTCTGCTCGTGTTTCATGAATAAGACCCATTATGTTTGGTTATAACATCTGGATGCTCAAGTTTGATGGGGTAAATGCTCATTTTAAACAGGTTATTGTACACACGTTAATCGCCTTTCTAAACTAATGAGCTGCATTGTAACACACACATAGACAATAGCTCGCACATCATGTGCTGATCGCCCGCACACAAACATTCAGTAGCGCAGAAATGTATTGTCAACACTGGTCTGTGATTTATCAATAAAATCTGAAAAGTTCTAGCATTTAGGCATATTTCTTAAAAAATAAAACCCACAGCTTCACTTGTTGGTGCATTTGTCAGTCTTTATTAAGAGGAAATCAGTGATGTAGTTATAAAATTGCGTTTGTGGTGAGAGATTGAGGATGTGTGCATATTATATGCACTGTATTGAGTGTTTGTGATTGGGGCTAATGGAGGAAGCCATAGGGTGCCCTTAGAGGAGGAGAGTCACTGAAGTGTGTGATACTCGCGCGCACACACACACACACACACACACTCAGACACAGACACTCACATTAAGCCAGGGCTACTACAGATTTTCAGTGACTATCATTTTGCTTGAGTAAAGAGATTGTAGAATTATTCAGTATTAGCAAGGTGAGAATGTATCGTGGTGTTTACATACAAATGAGTAGCACACACACACAAGCACTCCTTGTATCTTTTTTTTATTGCTTTACTTTCAGAAATAAAGCATTTCTCGTCCTCCTATAACCCTCCCTAAAGGTAATCCTGAGAGATCAGGCATCAGACAGGGCGTCAGGGGCCGCATATATTTGCAGAAGTGAGGCGTGAGGTAGGGGTCCCTCCGTGAACCCAAGCATCTAGAAAAGAGGGAATAAATGACACGCTCTAATGCACCTATTTGTCATATCTGTCACGCTGTTGTGTAATGCTAATCTAATCAAAGGGGAGAATTTGGGTTCTGCCTGCCTCCACTGAAAAAAAGCCTCCGGCCCAAAAACCCGTTCCAGTGGCGGCGCGTTGCAGGCCCTGTGCTGCAATGAAAGGGCTGCGTTGCTGCTGATTACTCCAATAAATCATCTGAACTAAATTCTTTCAAAAACGGATGCAAATGTACTTTTATTGTGGGGGAGAAATGGTGGGAAAAGGCGGCAAAGCTCAAATGAGGTTGTGAGCCCTGTTTACCCCACAGGTAATTACACAATCTTTTGTAGGGGGAAAATTGTGTTTTATGAACGTGGCAGATTTTTTTCTTTCTTTCTCTTATTTGGAAGAAGAATCAAGAGGAACTTTAGGGTGTCTGATTGATCCTATGTTTAATCAGGACATGTCATCCCTGCACAGGAAGTGCTGTTGTTGTAGACAGGAAGTAAAGCAGTCCTTTTGTTGACTGAATAGGCAATGAGAAAGGGAGGATGTTGATGGATTCGTTTTCTTTTGCTTACATTTCCTTCTTACCCCAAAATAGAAACCAGCCGGATATGGTACCGTCTGCACAAATTTTCTAATTAATATCTATGGTACAAGATGGAGTGGGTTTGGGGCTAGAGGTCAAAGGTTGGGGTCACAGACTAGTTTTTAATCACTCAGGATCAGGAGGGTTGCTCTTCTGTTAGACAGCGATTCTTAACTGCAATTTTATTGCATCTCTCTGAAATGAATCCCTTTATTCTCAACACAGGATCAATTTTCATCATCTTCTATAAGCCTGTTGTGGTTTATTGCTTTTCACTTGTGTGTTATTGATAGCTGTTCTATAAAGCTGCATTAAACATGTGGCTTTTAATTGATTTTTTATTGTAATTTTTTTCCATTCTTTCAGCCCTTTGTTCTTTTATATGCATGTGAAAGGATCTTATTCTGCTAACAAATCACAACTGACTCTAATGAATAAGTGTTGACACATCCTCATTATATCTGTATTATTGTTCTGTTAATGAGTATAATATGTGTGTGCGTGTGTATATATATATATATATATATATATATATATACATATACACACACACACACACACACATATATATATGTGTGTGTCATATATACGTATGTATGTGTGTGTATATATATATATATATATATATATATATACATGTATCATATATGTATCATATATATGTACATGTATTGGTTAGATCCAGCATATTATCTAAAATTCTCTAATAATATTGTAATATATACGTATATATATATATTTGTATATATATGGATTATATATATATATATATATATATATATATATATATATATATATATATATATACATATATATATATATATATATATATATATATATACATATATATATATATATATATATATATATATATATATATATATATATACATATATATATATATATATATATATATATGGATTATATATATAAAATATTTTGCTTTCTTATTATTAATGAATAATGTAAGCAAATAATTTTTACCAGCATTTATTTTTCTGTCTGTCCTTTTGCTATTAAAAAGCAGGAGAAAAAGCAGCAAGGGTGTTTTTTCAAACTCTAATGTTATTCAAATTAATGTTTAGGATTCAATACAAGTTTAGTCAGTGACATTTGTGGCATTTCAGTTAACAGAAAATGATTTTGATTTATTCCATAGTTAAACATAAATAATACGATTTTTTTTTACCGTGGTTACAATAAGTGTTCAATGAAAAACGCCATTGTGTTTATTCGCATAGAACAGTAGTTCTGCGACAACTTTACAGTCGAAATATTACA